AATATCAGCCGTGACACCTTCTCTTTCTTGCCCAAGAACTATCTTCTTTCCTGCCTTCTAAACGTTTCAATCACACCCTCCAACCACCGCAGTGTCAACGTGAAGAAAAGATTGAAAACGCACACCCTAGGTCTCTCAAACCTAGCTCTGGATATCACTATTGAAACGGAAACTATAGAAGATAGTGAAAGAGATTGACACACTAGCAGAAGGGATAAAACAATAATAGCAGAAACATACAGTAATGATAAAACAGTTACTGTTAATAACAAAAAACGTCTAACTATCATATTTGAATTACACATACACCAACAGAGAGATTCACTATATGCTAAGATTTGCATTAAAACATCAATATTTGTTCTTACCTCTTTGATTACCAATTTTAGAGTTACAGTGTCTTCTACAATTTTAGAGCATGCATGAAGCTAGTAAATCATAAAATCACAAAACATACCATTTGGTAAGTGATGACAAATTTGAACACCGAAAAACAGCGCCAAAAACTTGTTTAACCCTCGACAAGTGTGACCGAATCGTATCAAGTAATAAACTCGTAAACCAAGTATAGTTCTCCCAAAGGACTCACGACCTAGTTAGTTATATGATTTCTTGATTATTTAAGACTTGAGAACAAATTGTTTAAGTTTCAAATGCAAAAGGCAAAAAGTAAACATGTATGCATGTGAGATCAATGGGAAAGAAGAACACAAAACACTGACGAATTATATGGATGAGTATGTTGTTGGGGTAATCAATTTCATCTTATCCACTTTCATATATTTTAAGAATTCATCATTCTTTTCATCAATGTTAATGTCACTCTCTAAATTACCTTGCGAAGAAGTCTATCCTTAATTACGAGTTCATACAATTCCTAGCATCCCTAATAATTAATTCTGAAGCACAAAAGCTAAAAGGAAACCAACCTCATATCCTATGTCTAGGCAATATGTTATTGGGAGAATTTCTGGATCTAGATTTCCCCGTATGTGTCCATATCGACAAAATCAATAATCATGACATCGAATGAGTTAATAATGCATGCTTTGAGCAAAGAGGAAAAACCCTAACTATTAATGAAAGAAAGCATGTATCTCAAATAAGATGTTTAAACACAATTCCATATATAGAGCTTCAAAAGATTACATTGATTCCCCAACAACAAGAGAGTTTAGTTCACCATATTCATGGTGAAACTAGATGACCAATAATGAAAGAATGGAAGAGATAGAAAAACCTAGAAAGAGAAGAGGAGAGTCGTCACCATCTCCAATTCTACCCCCAAGGGGTGAAAAGTGTGTTTTGCGTCTTCTCCAAAGCCAAAGTACAAACCCTAGGACGTCCTAAAGCATATATATTATTCTAAAAATTACAGAAAATTAGGGCCCAAGCCCATAAAAGTAACAGAAAACCGGTCCAAGGCCATTTAGAATGGCGCTCAGCGGTATTTTACTGTTGAGCGGTACTAGTGCATGATCCATTTTGCCCCCCAACTGCTGTTTTGCCCCTCAACGGTGATTTCGGCACCTAAAAACTGCCGCTCAGGCCAAATTACCGCTCAGTGCCACTCGGTCGCATTTTTTCTGCATTCTGGTTGACTTTTCAGCATTCTGGTTGACTGATTGACTTTTCTGTTGACTTTTCTGGTTTCTGGTTGACTTTTAGCACTCCAATCATTCAGTACTTCAATTCTTCTTTCAAATCATTCAATTAGCCTACAAAATCAAGGGATCTTTTCACAAAACCATTAAATTCACCTTCAACCTCTTATTCACAAAACTAAAGCAAAAATATGAGTTCAAGCTAGTTTCTAAGTCTTAAAGGTTGCTTTTGGTATCAATTTTAAGCATAAAAGTAACGTTTTTCAACCGTTATCAATAAGCTAATGGACATTTTCTCTTATACGAACAACAACAGTAATAGAGTTTGAATTTGATATTTTGTTTAAAATATTAAATTTCTCAATCACTAAGAGTGACCAACTAAGCTAACGAACTTAAACTTTCATATAAATAAATACATAATTTTAAAATATTAAAAAAATTAAACAAATAACTATACTTAAGTAAGTCAACGTGTTTGTCTTTGGAGGTTTTCAAATAACTTACAATTTTAATTAACATTTAAAAAAAAAAGTCTTAAACCAAATTATTTACTAAATAAAGTTGAGAGAGATTGTTGATAGAGTTTCTATTATCATGTTGAAATGTATAACAAAATCTAGATTAGTAAAATTGAGTGTAAAATAGATTGTAATTCAAGCTTGGATTTTTTTAGAATCAAATTAATTAAAGTTAATTAATTAAGAACATTTTTAGCACAAAAAAATCTATTTTGAAATATATAATTGTCGTCGTCTTAATAGGTTAACATATTTATATAATTGATTAAAACAAAACCAAATCACATCATTGAAATTTGAATGATATTAATGGATTAAGTTAATTTCATAATCGATTAATAACATCAGTAAAATGTTTTCTCATTTCAAAAATATGAATTTTCATTTCTAAGAACTGATTGTGTAAGAAGGAAGAATTCTAGAGTTCTTGAAGAGAGCAACAACTAGTTTTTGTAAAATTCATCAAGAGGCTATCAAGATGATCTAATTTTAGAGACTCTTGCTTGACTAGACTGATTTGTAAACATTATACTCCAGGTGTATTAATTCCTTTTACCTTTTGCATTTCTTTCTTCTTTAAACTTTATTCAATGTAGATGATAATCTTGATGTAATTGTGTGAAGCATTGCATTAGAGAGTATTGGTTCTTGATATCCTAGGATGTAGAATTATTAAGATGTACTTGTAATTATCTAAACTCTTTGATCATAGTATATATCTTCCAAGCTTAGATTGCTTGAAAGAAAATTGGATGTAGATTCAAGTTGAATACAATCAGTATAAAAATTGTCTTTTTCCTCTTCTTTCATTAATATTATGTTTCCTTAATGGTTTTAAAAGGTTTAAAGAATCAACATCTCAACAAAAATTCAAAAAGGTCTAAATTTTTGTGAAACGAATTCATCGCGTCTTGGTTAGGAAATATTATCTATTACTACTTTTAACAAATAAGTTACATAGTTAGATATGGATTAGGTAACTAAAATATCAAATACGAGATTTGTATTAATTTTTTATTTTGTAGTATTACTTCATATATAAAACTAGTGATGGTTTGATTTTTCTTACACCAAATCTATTAATGCTTTACACATTCAAATGTAGTAATAGTGTTTTTTTGGCATGTATTTTTCTTAGGGTAATATTTAATAGTTTTCTTACCGAACAAGATCAATTACATTTCAAAATTACACATGTGAGTTTACTTTTAAAAAAGTTATCTACAGGGTCAAATCGTGTTTATATAGCACGACTTTGTTGTGAAGAAGTTGTCATCGCAATGGACAACTTTTGACCATCTAAGTGAAGTCGTTGAAACACATAATGATTTCTGTGTAAGGTTAAAGTCGTTAGAGTGAACAACTAAGTTAATCAGGTTAGTTATACTTAACAAAAGTTGTGTAAGTGACATATGTTGGTCTATCGAGGAGGAGGTTCACTGGGAAGGGAAGACACAATACTAATGAGATCTAAGCCCAGCCACATAAGGGATTGTCATCATTCTCTATCAAAAACCTTAGGCAATGGGTCAGAAGGCATTATATCGCCATATGACTACCTTGTTAGAGGTAGTGCTTATTTATCCCTTGTCATAGAAAGGTTCCAAGGTCCATAAAGCAAAGGCATTATAAGCCCAATTATCTGTCTTAAATAAGAATTATGACCTAAACGTGTGTATAGTGACTGGTAAAACAGAGAAGAGCCTTCTAGATTGACACCACTCTCTACCAAAATCTTAAGACAATGGATTAATGGGTATTTTACCTTTATATAGTGCTTTACTTTCTCATTTCTATCCAATGTGGGACTTGGACTCACTTAGATTCCCAACAACATATGACTTCATCACATATGGTAAATGTAAACTGGTGGAGGCATGATGCGACTTATGCAAAAATAGACAATACTAACTGGTGGTGACATGATGAGACTTATACAAAAATAGAGTAAGACGACTTTAAGATGACATATGATTGATGACTTTAATTCATTTTTCATAGAGTAAGATGACTTTAGTTCAACTTACATTAAACTAAAATCGTCATATAAAAAACATGCATGACTTCTGTTACTATATTTTTTTGGAAAATTTTAACTAAAGTCATTAACAATGTGGACGACTTGAGTCTTGCTATGATATAACCAAAGTCGTCTTATGAAAATTGCATTGAAGTTGTTACCCGTTGAAGTCGTGTCCCACTTGCACAACTTTGATTATGTGTACACAGAAGTTGTGATGTGCTTCCATGACTTCACTTTGATGGTCAAAGATTGCCACGAGGATGATGATTTCTTCACAACAAAGTCATACTATGTAAGCACAACTTGATCCTACTGGTGATTTTTTCTTTTAAAATGAACCCAAATATGTAATTTTGAAATGTAATTGATCCCGTTTAGTAAAAAGACCCGAAGTGACTCTACTAACAACTTATTTTAAAAAGTACTTCAACAGATAATAGGCAACATTTATATTAATACGAGTACTTTAAATTAAATGCATTGTATACACGTTAACAATTCCTTAAACTATACAAACTGAGCTATATATTATTAGTTTTAAATCTGATGTAGTATGTAAAAAACCTTTATTAAATATCATTCAAGTCTTGCGTGCTTTCCGACTATATATTAATTAAATCGGATGTAGTAGCTTGTTAGTTTCTTGAAGACTGATTCAATTGTAGCTTAGTCACAATCAGATAAATACATTTTTGTTTCAGCAAGTTTAGAACTTTGAAATTGTAAACTTCTAGTTAAAAATTGAAATAAAATCCACAATCTGTTCAAGAGGCAATGATATTCATCTTTGTTTTACTGTGATGATAAAGCCCTGAGATAGTTACAAGCTGAATACCTAATGTGATCATTGGATGAATAACAGAAACTTTATCATACTATATGAGAAAATGTGTTCTTTAAGAAGAGAACAATCTGGTAAAAAAGTTCCCTGATTTGGACTTGTCTAAACATGCAACATGAGCATATCTTCCAAAGTTGTCAACTTGCCTTTCCTCTCCCCTGGTGTCCTTTTTGCACACCTTGCATGTTTTGTCAACCCATCCCTCTTCAACATATGCTCCATCCACTGTTCAATGGAAAAGGAATTTCTCAGTAACATTGCTTATTAGGACGCAGATTCAACCAACCATAAGCCAAATACGAGTTTTCTGATATTAACCCATCAGAAAATGGAAAAAATGCAACTGTAACCAATGCATTTGAGTCAGACAAACACTTATTGGGACATGAATTATGGTAAAAAGAGTATAAAAAAAACATTTAGTATAGAATTTCATTAGCCAAAGAAGGAAAATGAGGATTGAAGAATGTTGGCCATTTAAAAAAAGATAACTATATCGTACCTTCAACATAGGACTTGAAAAAATCCTTGTATGTACCACCAATTTTCCTTCTAAGAGCTCCATACTGAAGTAAACAAAAAAAGATAGTTAGAGGGATCAAGAAAGGATTAAAGAGTTGAAAGAGTACAATATACCTGTTCTCTGTTCATCCTTTCTCCAGCTCTTGTGGCTTCTCTAGCCTCTTCTATAAGCTGAGCATCCTCAGCAGATCTCACTTGGGAAAAATCAAGAGCCTCGGTCACACTGCTAAACAAGGATTGCTTTTTCTTATTGGGTTCTTGCTTCTCTTGTTTGGCTGAAACTCTGAACTTTATGCTTCTATTCACTCTGCTGCAATCAAGAGTGTCATGGATAAGTCCTGAGTTTGGAGAAAAACTGGTATAAGAAGGGGTCAATGGCAGAGTCCCTAGGCCCATTTTAGCTTCTTTTGGTACTCAGCACCACCCTGATTCTCAACCACGCTCCTGCAGTTATTATTTATATGCAAAAGTGTTTGTTCTTGTAAGTTTTGGTGCCACGAAATTGTAGCCACACAAGGATGTCAATTTGTCCACAGCACTCTTGCCACTCATAAAACCTGGTGGTTAATAGAAGACTATGTGGCACCTTAGGGAACTCAAATACCACAGGATCTCTTTTATCTTTCTCTCTCTTTGTGTTGTGCCACGTAATTGTGTAATTCGTGTTCATAATTATTTACTAAAATATCTGGCTAAAGACCACGTAGTAATACTAGTGCTTGTTGGCTCTTATTTTATGAAATTTAATCTACTTTCACAAAATTCAATTTATAAAATTTTTAAGTTGGAGTGTATTGAAGTCTATGGTTTTTGCTTATAAGGAGTATGTTGAAGTTGTGTTTAGAAATACTACTTTGTTTCACTTTTGTTATTTTACTTTTAAACATGAAACTGTATCATCAATAATGAGATTTTCTTAATTGATTACATACTCATATGGGTTGATTCGATTTTGATTTATTTTATTTTTATACTTATTTGCTTGAAATTGTGCCTAAAAACATAATTTTAATTGTTTATCTCTTTAAATTTCAATAATTTAGAATTTGTGTATTTACTTTATTTTTAAATTACAAGGGAAACATTAAGAATTTAGAAAATAATATAATCAACAACTTAAAGTACTAGTAATAATTAATATACATAAACAAGATGTCAAATAAAAGAAATTATTTGTGAAAATTGGTCTCAAAAATCAGTATTTTTGATGTCCGTCTTTCCGGCTATTCTTTCTCTCACGACAAGTTTACAGGAATTACAGTGCCTTCTGACCCTTAATTTTATAAAGTTATATCCTTGCAAATATAAAGAACAGGGAATGGTAGCATATATCCATGCAAACCTTCTGCTATGCATTCTAGTCTTCTATGTAAACTACTCTCGGAAATAGAGAAAAAAAAATGAAAGCATTCTATATATAAATTACGTTAAATTATGTAAACTCGATCAGTCACCCCCACAGTCTCAATTCACAAAATCCTTGAGAAACTGCACATATGGCATTGAAGCCTGTGTCTCTATAAGAAAGACAACAGAAAAAGACTAATTACAAGTTAGATATTTCTACACAATGTAAACCATGCCAACCTCCAAAAGAGAAACTGGGGGAACCTTAAGTGCTACATCAGGGCCTCTACAATTCCTTCTCAAGAAATTGTAGCCGTAGTTAAGTGCCAATTTCTTCAGGACAGATGAGCCTTGCTTTGCTCTTACATGGGAATGTCCAAGAATGAAGGCAATCCCAGCTTCTTGAGCAGCATAAAGATCTTCCAGTTCTTCCTGCATCTGCACTCCTACCTCAGACCTTGCATCGCTCTCAGGCTCATAGTCAATAGCAAACCTCACTCTCCTCTCACTCACTGTTGGTTCCATCTCAATAACATCACTCACACTTTGAACTGTAGGGAATCCAACAGAGACACTGGCTTGCTGCACACTCTCACCACCACTCTCATATCCTGGTTGGATGGAGAAACCAGTTGTTCCAATCACAGTTAGTCTGTGACTTGATGATTCATTAGAGTTTGAGACATCATCCTCAACGCTCATGCTGCTCCTCCTACTCCTGTACCAATCATATTGGATGAAATCTGCAAGTCTTGCTACTAGTTCTGACTCAAAGGAATCAACATCTTGATGAACATCACGATATCCATATCTGACTATACATCTGTAGGACCGATGAGCAGAAGGTCCTACACGCCCCACAAGATACCTCTCAGCAGCAGGAACGTGAGGGACAGGCACTGATTTCACACACACAAAAACAAGGATGCGATGATATGCAGGAAGGTTGGTCACAAAGCGGGAGAAGTTTGCTGGGATACCAGCTGTGAGGTCAGTGAACACTAGTCCTATTCCTGGAACTCTAGCAATTCCTAAGCTAGGTCCTAAGGCTAGAAGCCAATCTAGTGATACCTTGTTGTGAAGGTCATATTCATATTTTCTGATGGTTGCATAGTGCCAAAGGAACATTATAATCATGAGGAAGAGTGCCAGAAGGATTGGTAACCAGGCACCCTCACAAAACTTTGTGAGGGAAGCTGAGAAATACAGCAGTTCAATAGAGCCAAAGAATAACAGGAAACAGAGTGCTACTATGGGGGGTTTGTGCCAGCAAACTACGATTACCAGCGAAGTAAGGCATGTCGTTACCAGCATCACAGTCATCACTGCTAATCCTGCAATGAATAAAGAGTGATTTAAAGGTCATTCCAATCGACATAAGGTATCTAATATCTCTGAAATTAAGTAATCAAGCATCTAGCATAAACTATGATAGTGCAAAGAAAATTTCAAAAGGAAAAAAAAAACATGATTAAGTCAGTGATGCATAAATGTATTGGTTACCTGAAGCATTTCCCATGTGTTTTGTGTCCCTAAATCCAATGGTCACAGCAATACAGAGGATCATGAGTAACCAATTAATCTCGGGAATGTAGACCTGACCATGTATCTTGTCAGATGTATGGACAACCTTGACTCTTGGGAAGCAACCTAGAGATTGGCTCTGGTTTATGATTGAAAATGTTCCACTGATGATTGCTTGGCTTCCCACAACTGAAGCTAGAATGGCTAAGATAAGCACTGGCCACCTCACACTTTCTGCAACCAAAACATTGTACAATGTTTTCTATAATATGCTCTCATAACAGGCAAGAACATTCATACACATACTTCCAGGAAACTAACAAAGGTATTATATACAACAACATTGCCAGAAGTTTTTTTCTATTTAGCTATTTATGAGGCTTCCTTCCAATTTTACAGCTTTCAGACTAGTAAGAAATTGTGAAGTGAGCTTGGACAATGAATACCTGGAACTGAGACATAGAAACTGATTTGGAGATCAGAATCATGATGATGTGACAAATACGCAGCTTGTCCCATATATCCCAATATAAGCGCAGGATATACCAGAAAGGTGAATGCAGTCTGCACATGACAAACTGTTAGAAGACCTTTCCTGCTTAAAAATGACCTTCCAGGTCCATGAGAGCTGTCAATATTCCAGGAAAAAAGTAGGGAAATAGAAAATGTGAAAATATAATTAACCAACCTGAATGGCCATATATGAGAAATGGCCAAGATCAGCAAACATAGCTTCTGAGCCTGCATACAAGGTCAATATAAGAAGTCTTTAATGTTCTTAGCAACATCATGTTGAAGCAACCATAGATATTTTACAATGCTCCGCTAAAAAACCAAATATATTGGGGTCAACACTTGCTTGATTATAGTGAAATTGAACTTAATTTGTTTATGTAAATAACACCATGCCGTTGAATAATTTTAGGGGAACACTATTGGAGGAGCATGCTGAATAATAAGAGAAGAGTTGATTCAAAAGTAAATTTCACTCAGAAATTAATTTGAATCTGTTCTGACAAACTTCTCCATGAGTATTTCTAGAAGAAGAAAAATAAGAAAAAGTAAAACGAGTTTCTCCACAAAATAAAAGTAGCTTAAACATAAGCTAATTTGTAGAAGGCTCATTCTTATATTCTACTTGTATACAAGTTAATTTCAACTTAATGATAAACTTATTTCACTTTCTATCTTAACCTTTTCTCCTAGAAGTACTTATGCAGAAGTTTCTCTATGCATACTCTATTTTTTAATTTAATCATAATTTTGACCTGGAGGTTGCAGAAAAGACAACTAAACAACGTATGTATTTTTTTAGATAGACAAAGTTTGGAATTTAATGAATATGTTATGCAGGAGTACCGTCCAAGATATTATATTTAACTACATAGATGAATTTTCTATATTTACCTGTTATGCACAGCAATATTCCCCCCAAAGACATCCATCCACTTATCCTTGTCTTCTTCAAGAACTTGAACATATAATATGGCGAAAGAGCTTTATATACATGTGGATTCCATTTGAATATATTATATAGACCAAGTGTGCTGATGCACAACAGCCATGCTAACACAATTGGAGCAAAAAGGAACCCCACCCTATGTGTACCATAGTGTTGCAGTGCGAACAAACAAACCAGTATGAAGCAAGTGATGGGAATCACAGCATCTGCAAATGCATATCAACAGGTTCAAATACAAAAACAAGGAAGAAATCCTGCAAACTAACCATTTCAACAATGATAAGCTATGAGTGAAATCTTTGAATATTTTATTCTAAACAGATACACACTACTTCAATTTTTTTTTCAACTGGGTTACCTCCTTGTCAGTAGGAAACAAAATTTAATAGAAATACAGAGAATGACATCAGTGAAACTTACACTGGTGGTGTTTCTTGGACATAGATACCTCAAGACCAGATACTGCCGAGAAAACTACACAAATGGATTCCCAGTCAACAAATTGATAAGAAAATATTAGTATAAATATGGTTAATAAGGTGGAATCTTACCAGAAATAGCTGGGGTAAGAAGTCCATCCCCTATTACCATACAAGTGCCAAGAAGAACCACGATTAGGAGAGCCGTATGCAAACCCTTATATTTCTCAAGTACCATCTTAACTCGAGAAGTATCTTTCTCTGGAGGCTCCTCCATCTTATATGTAGAAAGCGCTTCATCCGCATGTTGTCGATTTGGTAGGAGACTGACTTTGGCATGCCTACAAATCAAGGAATATAGAGCAAACGTACCACCTGCAGAACCATGCAAGAAAACCATCAACAAGAGCTGAAGCAGCATATTGGCTTCTTTCATGTTCATTCAAATGCTTACCTTCTCCATTATCATCAGCTCTAAGAACCACAAAAACGTATTTGAAGAGTGGCACCAGTGTCAGAGTCCAGAATACAAAAGAGAGGGCACCAAAAATCTCTTCATTGGTCTCTGAATGTTCAATATCTTCCGCAAATGTGCTCGTGTACACATACAAAGGAGAAATGCTCAAGTCCCCATATACCACACCAAGGCTTTGGTAGGCCAAGAGCATAACAGTCTTCCAAGAGTCCTTCTGAAATGCAATTTAGCGTCTAACTCTTTCAGTATTCATTTTGAACTAAAATTCTATGTCCCACCAATCCCTTATCAGACAATGAAGAAACCACAAACAGTACGAAACGACATTTTTCATGCTTTGGTTTTGCATAGCTTTTCCAAGTTAATGCACTAACCTTTGAGGTATCCCAACACTTCCTGGATTCAAGATCCATTAGCTTCACTTGTGAATGGT